AATTCACCTAGCAGAAAATTTCAGTAGCTCACGTACAACATTTCAGCCTCCCCTCTCACTCCTTGTACAAGTCTGGAAGGCTGAGTTGATGGAATTCACAGAAGTTCTTCAGGACCATCTCTTAAGACTAGTAGTTTTTCATGAGAAAGTGGCAGTTCATTGATGTCTTCAGTGTTTAGTGGTAGAAAACGCATTTGTCATTTAGGACCTCATATTCTTAGACAAACAGGAGTTCAGAGATATCCCTGAGCATGAAGGAACACAGTTGTACTTGAAGGGAGTAAAATCTTGACTGGAGAAACATACAGCTGGCAGCATTGATAGCCTATTTGAGGCTGGTTGTGGTATATTTATGTATTTTACTTCAAGTTTTTTGAGATGGAGTCTGTCTCTGTTGCCCAGGCTGGAGTGTGGTGGTGTGATCTTAGCTCACTGCAACCTCCACCTCCTGGGTTCAAGCAATTCTCCTGCCTCAGCCTCCTGAATGGTGGAGATTATAGGTATGTGCCACCACACTCGGCCAATTTCTACATTTTTATTAGAGATGGGTTTTCACCATGTTGGCCAGGCTGATCTCAAACTCCTGACCTCTTATGATCCACCAGCCTCAGACTCCCAAAGTGCTGAATGATAAGCATGAGCCACCACGCCTGATCTCCTTGTGGTATATTTATAATCAATAGAAAATTTCTCAGTTCAGTAACCGTTTTCCCTGGTATGGTCCAGCTGATGGCAGTTGAGTTTATCCAGGGTTCAAATTCTAGCACATGGGTATAACCAGGAAGAAGTGAAAAGTGACTGTGGTAGACCCTGGAATCATAGGAGGAAAGTGAAGACAGGATGGGGAAGATGGATTGAGAAACATGGCTCAATGAATCTGGGAGTCTTGGTGTGGTCGGAACTGTTAGTGACAAAATGAGCTGAAAAGATGGAGTGCTATTGAAAGAATGTGTTTGTATCCTTGACTTACAAGGCATGATAGCAGTTGACAAGATCGGTGGTGACTGGGACTTAGTAGTTGAAGTAGGATAGAAGTCAGACCTAGATTTACTGATTGACCTGTTGTGGCTTTGTTTCCCCATCTGTGAAATGGGGGTGGTGCTATGTATCTATTTAAATATGTTTATTTCTCCTCTAGTAGACTGTAAGCTTCGTAAGGGGGGGAACTTTGCCTTGTCCATCCCTATATGGGAAGTCGTCATTTAATGTCATGGATACGTTCTTAGAAACTGTGACTTTAAGCAAAACGACATGTAATGAAACCAATGTTTTCTCATGGTTATGACAATGACTCTGAAGAAAATGACGTTCTTTGAGAATCTGCTGTAGTAGTTTTGCTTAAAGTCACTGTTTCCAAGAACCTATCAATGACATTAAGGGAGAACTTACTGTACCTTCCCAAACCCTGTAACAGGACCTGGCACAGAGACACTAAGGAAGGAATTCATGGATGGACTGAAGGATCATGCTTGCAACTTAGGACTGTTGTTGAGGAGCAGGTGCCTTTAAAAGCTCAGCGCAGTATCTGACATGTCCAAGTTTCTTTACAGGCAGAGAATTACTTTTATTCTATAGGGAACATGCTACTGTTATCAAGCAAAAGTGGCTCACTGCCTGATGTGCTAGAGGCCAGTACTGTGACATTGGAGATTTGAGGGGGAATAAAAGCCCTATACTGCAGGTCAGCTCACAAGGAGACAGGAGTCAAGCTCAAATCTGTGTCCCCATGCTGGCTTCAAGGCAGTATTTCTATTAGAAAAGGTTCAGGAAGTAGATTCTGAGATTAGTAGGTGATTAGAAGAAAAGGGGAGGTCTGGAAAGTCCTTGGGCATGTGTAATTATCTATTCATGCTACCTCATGGGTTGCATGTGCCAATTTAGGGAGAGTTAGTATAAAACCTGGTGGAAATTCAGGCTGTGACATCAGCAAGCTCATTCTCTGCAAACTCTAGCCTTGCCATACTTTTTCTAGCCGATTTTAGCCAGTTCTTTCATAAGTAGAGGAGGTGGGAGTCTACATGTTTCAGCAAGCTGTTTCTTTTATTGTCTGCCATCCTGCAAACTCAAGAATTTCTGTTAGCCACTGGTTTCTTTAACTCTTTTAACTACTGTTCCTTAAGAGTACAAGAAAAGGTTTGAGATCCTTGATGAGGCTTCCAGGAATTTTGAGGAAG